GATGTAATTAAAGAAATAATTGGGAACAAAAATTGCAAACCAAATAGTTTACCTACTAAAATTGTTATAAATAATGAAGAGTATGTCAGTAGTGACGTAATCTTAGAAAAGTTTAACAATTTTTTTGTTAACATAGGCCCTAACCTGGCTACAAAAATTAATTATCCAAACAACTCATTTGAGACATACTTAACTAATAACAATGACAAATTAGCATTTAGCGAACTAAAAATTGAAGAACTTGAAGTTGCGATAAAGTCTCTTAAAATAAATAAATCTCCAGGTATAGATGATATTTGTAGCAATATCGTTATCGATGTCTTTTTGGAGATACGCAAACCGATCTTCGAAATATTTAAATCATCAATTAAAACAGGTACTGTACCAGATAAATTGAAAACAGCTAAAATTATACCAATTTTTAAAACAGGCGAAACATCTTTATTAAATAATTACAGACCGATCTCTATACTGCCTACTTTCTCTAAAATACTTGAAAGAATAGTTTACAATAGATTATACGAATATCTCCTTCAAAATAACCTCTTAAACAAAAAACAATTCGGGTTTCAAACAAAACACTCAACCGAACATGCCATTTTAGATCTTGTAAATAGCATGAGTAATTCTTTCGATAAAAAGCAATTTGTATTAGGGACTTTTATAGATTTATCTAAAGCGTTCGACACAGTTAATCACAATATCTTACTTAAAAAAATGGAAAGATATGGTGTTAAAAATATATCCCTTGACTGGTTCAAAAGTTACCTGAGTAGCAGAAAACAATGCGTTGTTACAGATCATAATAAATATTCAGACCTACTAGAAATAAAATGCGGAGTTCTCCAAGGTTCCATTCTGGGTCCCCTTTTATTTCTAATATATATCAACGATCTTCCAAAAGCCCTAAAAAAACTTGATGTAATAATGTTCGCTGATGATACAAATTTATTTTACTCATCGCCGTCTATAAGCGACCTTTACGAATCTATGAACACTGACCTCGAAAACCTCAAAATCTGGTTTAAAGTTAATAAATTCTTTGAATAAATATCTTTGAATACAGATAAAACAACCCTGCCTTTAAAAAAACAAAGTTCTCGCGATTTTCTTCAATATACCGTGGCCCATACTTACATAACAAAATAATACTTCAAAATATGGAACTTAATAAAATGAATAACCTTATTGCTCTGAAAAAAAAACTAAAACATATCATAATTAACTTAACCAACTTCATCGAAATGTATTAAACAATTTGTGAAAAATAGTAATAATAAAAAGCCCTACTACTTCTACTATATAGTAGATACCAAAGTACTTATGTGTATTTGTTGAAATAGTTCATTAAAGTTTATTTTATGTTTTAAAGGTTCTCGATGAAAAGACTATTTTAGTCTTCTGCGAGTTTCCTTACAACAAAGTAAATATTTTTTAAGAATAATTTTATATATATATATTCAACAACGTCCACAAGCAAGTCCCTAGTAGCCCTGTGGTACGACGGACTTGCATATATTTTTTAAATGCATGGGTTAATAGCCAGCACTTTATATTATAAACAACGAATAGTTACCTTATTTTGTACACTGTACAACGCGCATGCGCTAAACAGAATTTTGAATTTCTTTTGTCGTGAATGGTACAAAAATTGTTTAATTGTACGTTTTTTACTTATATGTAAAAATATGTAATTTTGTTTTATTGAAATATATAAGGATACTTGTGTTGTAAAAAAAAAAAAAAAAAAAAAAAAAAAAAAAAAAAAAAAAAAAAAAAGTAAACTATAGAGTTGCAGTTTAGTTTTGTGAAGTCAGATAAAGCTCAAAAAGTATGGAGAATATAGGGTGAGACATACACACTCAGTTACATTCGAAGAACAGTAAAATTTAATTAAAAATGTTATGGTCTGAGATTCGATGGCTTGATCCCCAGAATCGATTAAATCAATGCAAAATCGACTTGTAGAAGTCTTAAAAGCTAAAAGTGGTCTAACTCAATAATAAAAAGTCAAAAAATATAATAACTTTTTTTTAGAAACAATTAGTATTTAAAATTTTGTTTGAATATTTATTTAACGTTAAAAAGAATATTCAAACTAATGCATTGTTTAGTTTTTAGCAACTAAAAAAATTATTGTAATTTTTTTTAATTATTTAAGCAGCAGCCTTGTTCGTCAAGGTTTGCGTTTCGGAGTTGTAGAGTTAAGGTAAGGCTGTAATTACAATTATAGTTCTCTCAACTGTAGTGGCCTTCTCGGTTTTGGGAAGGTGAATTAAAAAAAAATAAAAAAAAGGAAAGCTATTGAATAAAGATATTAAGACTATTTAGTAAAAGCGTCAGCACAACAACACTAGTTACCTCGAAGATTTTTTTTACTAAAAAAAGAGCACAATGAGAAAAGACTAAAAATACAATGTGAAAAGAGCACACTAAAATAAGAGCACAACCTTCTACAATTAAAAGTAATGCAAAAAAAAAAATAAAAAATAAAAAAAACAGAAAAAAAATTGAATATGTTAGTAACATCAACGAACATAACACAAATGGTTGTCAGATCTGGTTGGACAAGAATATGCCAGACTAAGAATCTGGTTGGACAAGACTAGAAAGAAGAGCAATAATAAAAACACCCTTATCAATACCTCTATTACGTAATTACCTAACTCTATTTTTGACCTTAAAAAATGCCTCTATGACATAACTATCTAAAAATTTTTAAGGTCTTTTTTTTAAGAGTTGCGATAACGGCGCGTTTGAAAAATGTTAGCTACATCTATAAAAAATATTAAATTCTCCCCTGTTTTATATATATATATATATATATATATATATATATATATATATATATATATATATATATATATATATATATATATATATATAATATATATATATATATTTATATATATATATATATATATATATATATGTGTATATATATATATATATATATATATATATATATATATATATATATATATATATATATATATATATATACCAACAACAACAACAACAAAAACAACCAAAATGTTAACTGTGAGATGTGCAATTTTTTAACCGTTTTTGAAGTACTACATTAAAAGTATGATATAGAAATAAAAACAGATAAGCAATTTAAAACAGACAGAAAAAAAAAAAAAAGACTTTTAGAGACTAACTCTTGCTAAGAAAAAGATTCAAATCAAGAAATGATGTTACTTAGGTAACTTGCGGTTCAGTGATCAAAAAGGTAGAAAGATTAGAAGTAACGTTTTTAATTCACAGTTTGTCATCTAAAAATATCTTAAAATAAACATTGGTCAATATTAGAAAAAAATATAATTAGTTTAATGCCAAGCATTCATAAAAAAAAACATTCATAAAAAGCGATGAAATAAAATAAAAATCAATACTGACAGTTATTTTTAATATTAATTGTTTTAAATAAAAGATTGATCCGATTGGTTGTTTCTTAACAAATTTTTAATAAAAAAGAAAGAAGCATTAAGATTAAAATAGAAACAAACGAGAACTGAGAGTCGAATGAGATTAATATATATAGTACATGAAAGACAACTTTATATAAGAGTTGATACTATTGCTGAATTAATAGATTTTTTAATCTTTTGAAATTTTGAATTAAAAAATATACTTTATTGTATACTTTTATAAAGGCATATCAAAGACATATTAAAGTATCGTAGAGAACTTCTAACATATTTCAATCTATTTTAAATGAAATCAAATAAAAATATTTTTAATTATTATTAAAATAATAATAGTGAAATTTAAAATAAATATTTCCAGCAAAACCTATCATAAATAAAGTGAAATCTGCTATAAATGTTATCAATTAATTCTTATGTTAATTTTACCAAGTGAAATTAACATATGAATTAATTGATAACATGTGGCATGATATTGGCAAATAATTAATTTTACATAATAAGGTTTATATAGGATAATCAATCGTCATACGTAAGAGTTGTTACATAATCAACTAACTTAAATAAATAACTTTTTTTTTTAAGCAATATTTAAAAACATAGGTATTTTTAAAACTTTCTTTTATTATAAAATATAAAAAAGATATAAAACTTTCTACTTGAATAAAGTTGAAAAAGTTTTTTTTTTTTATTAAAATCAATTGTTACATAGAATATTGCTTTACCTACTTCATCTTAGACAACTTAGACAGGTTTAAATCAAGGTAGGTGGTTGAAAGATTTAGATTTTTTAAATTATCAATTGCTATATTTGATTTTCAATCGGTACATTTATTTTTCAAATGGAATGTTTGGTTCAGTATAGGCATAAATTAAACAAGTGCTAGAGATTCTGAATGAGTGGACTCTTTTAATCTTTGGTTTTCAATTATTTTTTTAAACTTTGATTGTTTAAATTAATCAATATTATTTAAAGACACCAAAAAACATTTGATTTGAACCAAAAAACATTCACTACGTAAGTCAGATTTTAAAACAAAAAAAGGTAAACAATTTTGAATTCTAAAACTTTAAAGGTTTGAAAAGAACAAACAGGCTTAAAGTAGAAAAGAACAAACAGGCTTAAAAAAGAACACTTAATACAAATCAGAAGCTTTTCATCTTTTTAAAGTTAAAATAATTTTAATAATAAGTTCTAATTTTCTTTTATTTTATACTGGATATAACTTTTTCTCGAGGTTTTTTTTAAGAGGCATGTTTTTATTTGTTTTAAGCATGTTTTTATTTATTTTAACATCACACGCTGTTGTATCGAAAATCTTTCTAAACGAAGATTTCATGCAGAAGCGATTTTTAGGAGGGGTAAATTTTAGTATTGAGGACTTTTTATTTTTTTATTTATTTTTTTTTCTAAGGAACCAGTCAAAACTTTTTAAGGATTTACCCCCTCCCCCCCCCTCCCTCATTTTATTCGTAGAATCGTCTCTGACTGGATGTGTGCTAAAACGCAATATAATCTCTAATTAGTGATTACTCAAATTATTTGTTTAAATTTTATTAATTTTATTTAGTATTAAAAATACATGTGAAATGAAATTTTTGTCGTTTATTGCATTTGTTTGGTATTTGTTTGGTACAGCAAGAGGTAATTTGTTTGGTATTTGATACATATAGCAGGATTTTTTAATACATACAGCAAGAAGCAAGTTTACTATTATTCAATAGCTTCCCAAGTTTAGTTAACAAGCTAATTTGTAACTTGAGGGAAATGCATACGTTAAGTATATTTGTATTTCAAAATTAAACTTTTTTTGGAAAAGATATGCCTAATTAAATAAAACCCTTTTTTCCATAAAAATTTTTTTTTTGAAAACTTTTTCTTTTTTTTACGGTTGTTCAATGTTTACTATTTACCAAAAGTACCAGTTAAAATAGTAATGGTTTCACCGTTATGGAAGCGTAATATTATATTAGAATAAATTTTTGTAAAAAATGTGAAACCAGTAATAAAAGCCTGCGATATTTAAATCTGACTTTAAAACTTCAAAAAAAAAGGTATTAAATTCGAGTAAAACTGCCCAAAAAATAAACATGTTTTTGGTTTACGTCTGGATCGTGTCAACCACGTATCTATATAAGTCTTAATTTCGAAATTGAAACAAAACTGAGGAGAATGTTTAACTTTTTATCTTAAAGTAAATTTAAATTTATAAACAGGTTTTAAATTTCATTTAATAATCTTTTAGTGTTCGAAAGTTATGACGTAAAGTTCTCCTCTGGCCAAAATGAAGAGGTTGTAAATGATTATGACTTTCGAACACTGAAAGATTATTAGAAAAAAATTAAAACTTATCAATGAATTTGAATATAGTATAAGATATTGAATTAAAATATTTTATTATCATATTGCCTTCGCAAGGGTAGGTGCTGCAAACATTTTGAAATATTTTTGTTCCCAAGTTTCAATCACTGCAATTTCGCAAAAAGTTGATGTGATTGAAGCATTCTCGTTTGATATAGGAATAAAGATAGTTATATTTTCACACTGTCACAGAGGGCTCAGAGGGCTGCTCCTACATTTAATCACAAACAGCGACAAAGCGGTTATAACGGTTGTCTAGGATTCAAGCGATTCTAGGTTTGATCTGCTTTGTACATTTGCGACATCGGTTAGGAAAACGACGTGAACAACCTTAATATTTTTTTTTTGGTGCTGAGTGACAAAGTTGTTTAGACTTGTTGGAACCTTAATAATCAAAAACTTAAAAACTTGTTCACGGAATATCTCTATTTAAAAGATATTAATGCGCCCCAACCCAAAATTTATCAAAAATTTTCAAAGAAGTTTCTTTTTTAACATTTTACTATTCGGTTTGTCGTTTTTTTATTATATCAGCAAGAAAAACTGTAAATTACGTCATCAAAAGCGACAATGACACTATAAGTTCTTAGATAGTCTGTTATTAGAGTTTTAATAGTAACAAAAAAAAAAGAGTTCGATTCGATCAACGTTTAAACGTTGATAGAATCGAACTCTTTTTTTTTTGTTACTATTAAAACTCTAATAAAAATGATTTTAAAAAAATGATTTTTTAAACCCATAAACGTTTATGGGTTTAAAAAAATTATTTTTCTAGTTTATAATTCTCAAAGTAAGCAAATTTTTTATAATTTGTTTTTTCTTAATATAACTGTTTTTATAAAACTATCGCTTAAATGTATATTTTTTAAATTTTAACTGTTTTTATAAAACTATCGCTTAAATGTATATTTTTTTATGTCACAGAGTTTCTTAAGCTGAAAGTAAAAAGAAAAAAAAAAATAACAAGCAAGCAATATTTATAATTATAGGTCTCAACTAAATCATACAAAACTTGATTACATTTTAATTATTAAAGTAATTTACTATGCAACCATGGTTTGAATTAGTTACCAAATATTTATTTGACATTAATTAGCATTAAACAGCAATTACCTTTAATCGCATTTATTATTCATAAATTTATTTATTAATCACCCCCCGTATATAATACAATGTAAATTATTATAAAGTTACATTTTTGACAAGAAATAAGTTTTTATCTTGGGATATTTACTATTTGACTTTTATGAATTTAAAAGTTCAGCAGTTAATTCCAAAATTATTTACACTTCTGAACGGTTTCCAAATATTTCATTTTTTTTGTTAATTAAGAACTTTCATAAGCAAGTAATATAAAACATTACCTTATTATTTGCTCTTGAAAACAATTGTCAATTATTTCCAAAAGTTCTAATGCGCTTATTTAAACCAACAAGGTAGTCAAAAAAATGTAAACAGTGAAGAATATTATCTTAAAGTACTTCATTAACATTAAATAAGTGAAAATGTTTTTTTTTTTTTTTTAAAGAAATATTGACAGAAATTGTGCTCACCGTTGCCAAAAATATTTAAGGTGTTATTGAATAACGTTTTGAAAATCTCTCAGGAGTTTTAGAATGAATATGACTACAATATGAACTTCAATCAAGTATTCACATTTACTAGAACCTATTTTTGTTGCTATGTTGGGGCAACCAAAATGTGAAAGTTGCCATGAATGCTTAAAACTAAATCTAATATACCCAAAAAATTTCAGCCCAAAAATTTGATGTTGGTTATTTTAATTTTATGGGACATAGTCACATGAAGCCCCTAATGACGTCAACCCATTAAGTAGTAATAGTTACCATTTAATGCTACATATGGCATTACATTTATAATTTTAAAGATGTATCAGATATATATATATATATATATATATATATATATATATATATATATATATATATATATATATATATATATATATATATATATATATATATATATATGATTTTATTCAATTGTACAACTTTTATTTAAAAATTTAGCATCAGAGACCTTTCATAGCTTCTTCAGTAGTACCAAATAATAAACTACATTGAATTTTTATTCCATAAAATTTGCTTGATTTTTTTGAAACTACTTTTGCTTCATCATTTTATTAAAATTAAACTATGGCATGCTAAACGTTAATCAGATTCAAGAAAACGGTAGCGATGATTATTCAAACGGAAGTATATGGAAATAACCTGTAATTATAACCAAGTTACCAACAACTTACTGGTAAGCAACCTAATTGGTAAGTAACTTACCGAAATGTAGTCAAGTCACAGTGAAGCGGATTACGTTTGAATGCATAGAAAAATACCAAACAATTAGATAAGTGTTAGTTAAATAGATATTTTGAATTAAGGGTTTTCGGGGCCAAAGAATTCAAATTGAACTGAATTTTTTAATTTTGCATGCAATAAACAACCCTAAAACGTGCATGTAATTGTTTAAACGTCAAACACGTACGCTTCAAACGTCAGTTTTTTGAATAATTTAAAATCATTTTATTAAGGCTTTTCAGAGCTTCCTTAAAAGATCAAGCAATAGGCAAATCAACTTTGAAAAAAAAAAATTTACAAATTAACATATATTAAGTTCTCTTATTTTCTCATCAGAAATTGAAGTTTCTAAAGTTTTTTATAAAGAAGTTTAAATGAAATCAATAAAGATTTCACCAAGTGTTTTTATTATTTACTTCAAACTCGCGTATTACTATAAATTGATTCAATCTTCTCATTTCTAAACCCAAGCTAAAACACTTTATAACCAAATATCATTAAGTTAATACATAAAGCAACTCTTAAACTTCCGAGATATTATGTACATATTTGACTGAGTATTTTTGCATACACGTCCGAAAACTATTATTTAAAAAAAAAAAGAGGTGTGGGGGGGGGGGACGTTGCATTTAAAAAAACAAAGTCTTACTCAAATTAAAATAAGTTCATAAATGTGCAGTGTAGTTTTACTAAACTTTTAAATATTTAATCATAATAAAACAATTGTATTTTTTTTCATTATTTTTTTACTAAAGAAGTTTAACAAAACATTATAAGAGATTTGAAAACTGATTATAAATAAAGTTAAATTAATGCAAAGATACCTTACATTTTTAAAGTTTTATGATCATAATTTTTTTAATTTTCACATACTTTATGTTAAAGTTATATATTTATATTTTTTGTTTGTTTATTTTCTTCTTAAAAGTAGTTAACTTTAACATTTTAAGTTTAAAAATGGCGGCCGTGGCCCAATGTTAAGAGCGCTTGCTTTATAAGCAGGAGATCCAGGTTCGAAACGAGCTCTGGACATATTTTTGCGTCACGGTAAGGAAGGAAGCGTAAACTTTCTGGTTAAATGCACTTCCGCAGTGATCTGTGACAAGACCGTAAGGTCTTCTTGGGGCACCTAAAAATAAAATAATATATATATATATATATATTATATATATATATATATATATATATATATATATATATATATATATATATATATATATATATATATCTACGTTTTTGATACTTAAAAAAAAGTTTGCTTATCAATTTTTTAACTTGAATTAAATATAGTGGAATTTTATATATTTAATTTAAATTAGATTTTATTTCTTTTACATTAAATATAACTTATGTTTGTGTTTTATTACAACATAATCATGTTTTTTAACTATATCATAAAAATATTTTTCTCCAATAAACTTTTTAATTAATTTTTAGTTTTTATTGTTGCTTTATTAAGCAGCTCAATCTTAATAAAAACACTTATCCTTAAGATTAAATTAAAAACACAAAAAAGTTTAAATTTTGTATATATATATATATATATATATATATATATATATATATATATATATATATATATATATATATATATATATATATATATATATATCGCAAAAAAGTTCTCATTATACCGGTTTGCAGTTCGCATTTTGCAGTTCGCATTTTGCAGTTCGCATTTGGGGTCGTCCATAAATTACGTCACGCAATTTTTGACCGTTTTCGACCCCCGCCCCCCCTCGTCACAAAATCGTAACACTTAAGAAGCGAGTTTTGAATGAGTCGTCACAAAACCACCCCCTTATAGCGTGACGTAATTTATGGACGACCCCTTTACCGGTTAGCAGTTCGCAAACAGTTTGTCGTTTCCGTGGATTTTTACGAAAGTGCGCTTAAATTTGTTGCGTCAAAAAATCGAAAAAATAACTGGGTCCTAAAAAATAGATGTGAATGTTCTTAAACTAAGACAAAGATATTGACATTTTATTGTCCTTAAGGACAATAAATTATCAAAGTTTTGTCAAGAAAAGCGATAAATAGTTTGATTAGGATCGATAAAGTTTAACATCAAAAGTTATACTTATACATTAAAATGTTCAAGCCTTATTGTTTTCTTGAAAGAAACCATGAAAGACCAAACTTTAGATGGCTTAAAAAAAGCAATCGTAACAGTTATTAATGTTAGCAGTTTTGAAATCTTATTATTACACTTTTTATTTACCTCATAATTTTGAATTATTTTTGTAGAAGTTAAGTAATTCCAATTATAATATATATATGCATATATGTATATATATATATATATATATATATATATATATATATATATATATATATATATATATATATATATACATATATATATATTATATATATATATATATATATATATATATATATATATATATATATATATATTATATATATATATATATATATATATATTATGTATGTATATATACGCTTACCATAATTTTGAAGTTGGAAATCAGGACAGGCAAGTTGGGAGTAAAAGGTAGGGGTGGGAATATATTAAAATAATTAGGCAGAGAAGGAAGGTAAGGGGATGAGTGGGGGAAAAGTAGTGTTTTTTTATGCTTTACAAATTCCAAGAATATCTTTTTTTTAAAAAAAGAGATTAAAGAAGAACATGCAACAGCTGAGACATCAGCATTGGGTTTGGCACATTAGAAAAAATTTTTTATGTCTGCTCGCCCACAGTATGCATCAAAAACCTTTGTTTAACATTGCTAAAACAACACATAGTGGTCTCCACCATTAGGTTTTTTACAAATTAGTAATCTTTCGAATTTTTTTGTAAATTACAAATTCCTTTTGCTATTTTAAACAAAAACAAAAACATAAACACTATTTAAGTCAACTAAGACAAAAACAGGACAAAATGAAAACCATTGGGACTTAAAGCTATTAAAAAAAGATTGATCATGCAGAGGTAAGATTTATAATTGATTTTAGAATGCATATCAGTTATAAATCTTGAATTAATAAATTTTTAGTATGAAGCTACTTTATACTAATAAAATTACAAAATAGACTCAAGAGAAAATGCAAGTTACAAAATAGATGCAAATGAAGATGCAAGCTACAAAATAGATGCAAGAGAATATATGCAAGTTACAAAATAGATGCAAATTCAACTCTTTTTCAGATAATATTTTACAAGCTGTAGCTTGTTAAAGATTATCTGTTTTAAAATTCTTGTTTTAAAATTCTTATTAAAAAAACTGTTCTTGTGTAGAATGCTTTTAACGAGGATGCAAGGACTGCAACTACAGCAACCACTATTAATTACTAGAAAAAAAAAGTTAAGGGAGTTAATGTTTTTTGAGCTTGAATATTAGCAGTTACAGTAAAAAAAAAATGCTGCTTGACTAAATAATAAGTCAGACATTGAGTTTTGGTCAGAAGGTTTTGCTTGCATCAGTAACCATGGTAGTATTTCTATAAAAGAAAAAGAGATGCAACCTTGATGATGGGATAGAGACTTAAGCATAATAGTTGTGTTTACATAAATCTAATGCATTTTTGGGCATTGTTTTAAAAAGATTAGAAAAATCAATTATAATATAAGATTAAAAATGATAAATTAGATTAAAAAATTCAACCCAAATATAATAACATTTAATTTAAGAAAAAATGAGAGATTGGTAGGTGTAAAGAATGGCGTTAGGTGTAAGAAACTGGTGAACCCAAAAAAAATTCAATTTTCCAAAGTAAAAGCTTTAAAAAGCATTTCCAAATTGAAAAGTAAATTTGATGTTCTATTCATTAGCTGTTCTTTTTAAGCCAAATTTATAAGGTATATGGTACAAACTTTAAAGATCAATGTCTTATGTAGACTATTCCGACAAGAATTGTTTGGACTATTTGCACTTAGTTGCTAATTAAAATAGATTGTAATTAAGTTTGGCTGCTTGTTAGAAGGAATCAAAATTTGCAGAATTTTTATTAATGCATATGACATATTATATATATTATATAATAATATATATATATATATATATATATATATATATATATATATATATATATATATATATATATATATATATATATATATATATATATAATATATTGAACATTCAAGATCTTGACAGACAAAAAAATAGCAGACAAAGACCTAACAGGCACAGATATCTTTGTGATGTCTATATGATGCCTTGTGGACATGTCTGTAGGGCGTCCAGCTGGCATTTTGTGCCTGCTGGGAGGAAATATATGACAATAAGATTTTTCCAGACTAAAAAAGATTAGCTCAAATTCAATATTTTATTTAATTTTGAATTGTTGTTTTAGACAGAAGCTCAAATTTTCAAGAAAATAAGTATTAACATAACTTGTATGAACATTTTAAAATCTGCAAATGGTTGTAGT